ATATATATATATAATTACCCACTAAGTCATAAATCGTAATTATTATTTATTATATATATTTTGAATCTTGAAAAAAATTCTCTTTAAATGTTTATTTGAAACATGTCAAAGTTGCTAATTAAGGATTGAAACATCATGGAATTTTGTATTTATTAATAGTCAGCTGGTTATTAAGGAGTGAATTTTTAATAGATATTATATAAAATATTTTATTTTATTTTTAATTAAGTATTAGAAAAATGATAATGAATTTCATCGGTTTCATTATTGATGTATATTTGAATTTGTGAATTCATTTAAAAAAAAATTATTATATGTTCATTTATGGTATATTTATAATTTTTTTAAATAAAATTTTTAAAGTAATTCAAATTAAATTAAATTATTTTGTTTCTTTATCAAAATTAAAAACTAAAATATTTTGTTTTTACTGTTTAATTTTAATTAACATTAAAATAAAAAATTATAATTAAAAGTAAAATAAGAAAAATTTATACAGATTTAAAAGTAGATGAACTCAATTGCATTCATTATTTTTTTGTGTATTTGAAATTTTTTGTTCATTTAATTATTATTGTGCATTCCTTTATTATATTTATAAATTTTAGTTATTTGAATAAAAGTATCATATGCATATTAAATATAGTTATATTTTAATATCTTAATTTATATAAAAATAAGAAAAGTATGTCAGTAATTACAACAAATTTTCACTTAAATTAAGGATATTTTAGACAACAAAATTGTAAAATAAATTTTTTTTTTCGGATTATTCTCCCTAAGTCATAAATTGCAACTATTGTTTTGAATTTCATAAACATGTTATTTGAATGTATATGGGGAACATCATTATTGGTTAAATGTTAAGTACAGACACTTTATTACTTACAACTTGTGTGTGAGTTTACTTTAATATACATGATTGAACATAAATTATTTTTATAATAGAAAATAATTTCTTTTTTTATATTTTATTTAAAATTTAAATTTTAATAATATTGAGTAGATTATATTTTAAAAATAAATTTATTCACATACAAAAAATTAATTTACATATATTATTAAAAATATTAGTAAAAAAAAGAAATTTATATAATAAAAGAAATTTCTAAATCTTTAAAATATTTTTTATACAATTATTTTTTTAATTATAAATTTATAAACTTACGATATTTATGAGTGTACATCAACATACATGTTTATGCATGAGTTTTCTCTTCAACAGAAAATAATTCATTTTTTTCTTATACTTCTTTTAAAATTTAAATTTTACTAATATTAAGTAAACTATATTTTTAAAATAAATTTATTATTTTTCTAAAAATTAAATTTATTGACCTAATTAAATTTATTTATTTATGTATATATATAATAAATAAAGCTATCTATCAATCAAAAGAGTGTAAAATATTTTTATACTATTATTTAATTATAATTATTATATAATAAATTTGTTAATTTTTATAAAAATTATCTTAAAAATTTTATTAATAATATTTTTCTAGTTGACCTTATAAATTTTTTTATAAAAATATATATTGAAAATATAAATTAATTAATATCCGTGTTCAAGTCTATATAACCTTTTTTGTTTGTTTATTTTCCAAATGGAATATATATATATATATTAGAATAAAAATTAGAAATATTAAAAATATCTAATTAAGAATACAATTTTTAACCAGTAAAATTTACGATGCTAATAATAAGATTTAAATTTAGGATTCTATATATATTATTTTAAGCATTCATCATTAATTTAGAGTATATATTTAAATGAAAGAAGATAAATTATATTAACAGTCATGTGAAGTGACGTTACTTTCCAATTTATGTATTTTTTTTGTAATATAAGACTATATTATTTTTATTAAATAATATAGTATATTTAATTTATATAATAACTCAAATATTTAATAATACACATTTAATATTTATAAAATGTAATGAATAAAATTATATACGATAAAATATATAAAAGTGATAAGATAACTTTCTAAAAGTCTTACTAACTAATATCATTAGGGCATTGGTTAAAAAATTAACCAGTGAAAATTTTTCATTAAAAATTACAATAAAAAAAATGTGTAAATACATTTTTTAATAATTTTTTTATTTTTTATTTTTTAACCAACATCTTAATTAACATTTTTCTTCTAAAAGTTATTTATGCTAAATTTTTTTTGGATAATCATGTAAATTATTATTATTATTATTATTTATAACTACGTATAATTTATTCTTAACTTTTATAGGAGTAAAAATTAAAAGAAAAGAATATTATAAGGTTAGTTTTGAAAAAAAATATAAAAAAAAGAACAATTTATTGTTATTAAATATATTAAATATTTTTCTTAATCACGATGAATAGAGTATAAGGAAAAAATTAATGCTATTATAAGTGTAGTATTACATAATTAGTAAATACTATAATTAATGTTATATAATGGAAAAAAAATATAACTACTTATAATACTTCATTGATGACATTAAATGTTTTATTATAACTAACATTAAATTTTATAAATATATTTAATATTCATTAATGTTGCAAAAGTTATTAATATTAAATTAAAGCTACATTAATATTTGTATTCAAATAAATGCATTAAAAGCTACAATAATATTTGTATTCAAATATATACAAAATTATTTCTTATAATTATTAAATATTATGATTAATATTTATTCCATTTCATAATATGTGTTCTTCTAAATTATTTTATACATATAAAAAATAATAATTTTATAAAATTAATTTTAAAATTAATATTTTTTATTAGAAACAATGCAACACCAAACTTATGAGATCCGTGGCTCCTTTTCCTCACTTTCCCCCTCTCTACTCTAAAACTCTCACTCACTCTCTTGTTTTTGGCTGATTCAAGGTAGTGGTGCGGAGTAGCTGTGGTTTCTAGCTGAGTTTGCGGAACTTTCTTTCCTCCTCCTTCGGTTGTTCAAGTTCTTCTTCAACTCTCTTCTCCATTTCTCCTTCCCGAAAGCTCGGATCTTCTAACCGAGGTAAGGGAAGCTAGAGTCTCGCTATGTTTGGCTATAAATGAGTCCAGAAACTCATTTGTTGTTTGATGATTGATGGTTTTTGAGCTGAGATTGCTGAAAAATGGGATTTTGGGGTTTTCGTGGTTTTGAAGAAATTTTGGGGTTTTTGATGATTTGTGTTTGCATGTCGGAAATGAGGCGTTTTTATTGATGTTTGATGAAAGAGGGAACTTTTGGATGGTTTGCATGTTGGTTTTCTGGCTGTTTTTGCAGGATTTGGTTAAGTTTTTTGAAAATGGAGTGTTGCTGTTGAACCTCGCGCTGGGCGCTATTCTTCGCACCGGGCGCGTGAGCACCAGGGGGCTCCATTTAGGCAAGCCCGCCGGGCGCAAAGGTGGTTCCGGGCGCAAAGGTGTGTGCGCCGGGCGAGCTTGAGAATGGGAGCCACTGGATGGCCCACGCCGAGCGTGACCTCGACCGCGCCGGGCACGATATCAGTTGTGCCATGCTTTCGGGTTTTCTGGTGCTGCGCTGGGCGCGACCACTGTCGCGCTGAGCGCGGAGGCTCCTTGGCAGTCTCTGCCAAGGGTGCACTGGGTGCAATTCGAATTGCGTCAGGCACGAGGCCTTGGTAGGTCTCTGCCTTCCCCACGCTGGGCGCGGGTTAGGCCACGCCGAGCGCGTGAGACTCCTTAGAGTCTCTGCCTAGGCTTGTGCTGGGCGCAATTGATATTGCGCCAGGCGCGTAAGAGCCTTGGGCTCTCTGGCTGGGTCA